ATGTTCATCAGGGATACTGACATGTAGTTCTCTTTCTTTGTAGTGTCTTTATCTGGTTTTGGGATTAGGGAAATCATGACCTCATAGAAAGAGCTTGGAAGTGTTCCTTCTTTCTGAATTTTTTGGAATAGTTTGAGGAGGAGAGGTGTTAGTTCTTTTTTGAATGTTTGGTAAAACTCCCGTGAAGCTTTCCGGACCACGGCTTTTGCTGAGTTTTTTTTTTATTTTTTTTATTTCTGCTTCCATTTCATCAGTAGTTATCAGTCTGAGTTTTGGAAGGTTGTATTTTTCTAGGAATATGTCTGTTTCATCTAGGTTGTACAGTTTGGTGGAGCGGCAGCCAGAACGGGGAAGGATGCAAAAGAATTCAATGTCAAGGTTGGTACCTAGGCATTATCTAAGTTCTATATAAGCTAGCCTCTTCTAGAATCATCTAGCGACCCAAGGCAGCTCCAAAGCATATGTAAACTCTCTTGTCTCATCACTCTCTTTTTCCTTCCCAAGAAAATCAACCTATACACACATCAAGTAATACTATTTCCATGCCTCTTCTCCTTCCTTTAATTTCAAAGAACCAGTCTACCTTCCAAAGGGGTGGGAGCGAAAATACCAGGAAATGCTTCCACTGCCGGCAGCACAGGCCTCAGCTGGCCCTGGTTACCTGAGCCTCAAGTGGCCCTGGGCAGCTGGGCAGCCACCATCTGAGGCTTGCCTGTGCCTCGGGCTGCCCTGGGTGGCCGAGGGGCTGAGGAGACTGGTAGACTCCGGAGGCAGGCATGCGGAGCGGCCGGGCCCGCCTCCCAAACCTTGGCTAGCCCTGGTTACCTGAGCCTCAGGCGGCCCTGGGCGGCTGGGGGGTTATTGGCTAGGGGTGCTGCCATATTTGAGGGCGGGACAGTCAATTAGCATATCCCCTCCTTATTGGATGTGGGTGCTGCCATCTCTGAGGGTGGGGCAGTCAATTAGCATATTCCCTCCTTATTGGCTGTGGGTGCTGCCATCTTTGAGGGCGGGGCAGTCAATTAGCATATTCCCTCTTTATTGGCTGTGGGCACCACAATCTTTGTGACAGCGTGAGGGTCAGTTAGCATATTCCCTTTTTATTAGATAGGATTTTTTGGTCTCTGTCATTTATTTCTGCTCAAAGCTTTATTATTTCCTCCCTTCTACTTTGGGCTTTTCTTGCTGCTTTCTTTCTAGTTCTTTAAGTTGCAGGGTTAGATAACTTATTACCAGTTTTTCTTGTTTTTTGAGGTAGGCCTGTAGTTCAATGAACTTCCCTCTCAGGACTGCTTTCATTGTGCCCCAGAGATTTTGGGTTGTGCTTTCATTGTCATTTGTTTCCAGGATGCTTTTTATTTCTTCTTTGATCTCTTTGGCTCAATCACTTTTAATAGCATACTATTTAGCCTCCAAGTGTTTGATTTTTTTCATTGTTTTTATTATAGTAGATTTCTAATTTTATGCCATTGTGATCTGAACAG